CACACACCCGGAGCTCGTGGAGGTGCAGCAGGCGATATTTCTCGACAATGGAGGGGAGGTCATCGTCATCTCCGACGACAAGGTGCAAGGCGGCGAGGAGGGCGGCCACGAGGAGGGAGTTCGACGTCAGTGAGTGGCGGAGCATCTTCCCCGACTGCAACGATGACGGCACCGACCCAGACACATGTCTCATCGAGTGTGGCCTGTCGAGGAAGGATTGGCTCAACCTCCACTACGGCTGATGAAGATGTCTATTTTTGTGTGGTTTAAGTTTGAATATATGTTTAATGTTCGGTTGTCAAGCCTATCTATGTTGAACTCATGTTTAAATGCATGCAAAGTTTGGTTGAAATTAGGCTGAATTTATGCAAATTACGTTTTACTCCACTAAGTTTAGAGGATCGCTTAGAACCGACTAAAACTTAGTGGAGTATAAATACTCCACTAAGATTTACTCGGCCGGATACTCCGCTATCTTTTAAGGGATCGGTTAGAAATGCCCTAACGTATACCGAAAAAGGCTTTCGTCCCGCTTTACATATAAAGCAACGATCAACAACAACCCGGTACAAACACACGCCATCACAACACACACCCACACATACACCCAAGGCAGGATACATAGGCGTTGAGCGCAGCAACACCATCCCGAACACTACAAGAGCAGCAGGAGTCCTCGACCGTGAACACGCCACCGCGAAGAGATGAAGCCGCATACCACGAACCGTGGGCTAGCTCGAAGCCACGGGCTCTGCCTCTGAGCAGCACTCTACCATCCTCAGGGCCGCCGCCCCGGCATCTAAGACCTTGACACCACCTCACCCGAGACCCACCGCTACCCCAATCAACTACCTCAATGCCCTAACATATAGAAAAGAGAGAAAAAAAAGGGTGAGAAGATATTTGTCTTGCACACGCAGGCATGGATTATATCAAAACTCGAACCACATCTGTCCATCTTCCGTGGCTTACATCCATGTCAGTTGTCACTTTAGGTTAGCTTAACTAAGTCCTACTCCGTGCATGCGTGCTGAGATCACGGCGTTCAAGGATGGTAGTAGGCAGGAAAACCCCGGCGGGCCGTACGTGAAACCAACACCGGTTCAGCTAAGCTGCTCAGCAAGCCGGGTGGTGGGTGATTACTAGGTCGCCTCACCCCTGATACCTTATCGAACAAGATTCCTTGGTTATATAAAATGGCGAAATCGTCTACGGCACTCACGTCACTTCTGCACCGTTAGTCCCTCCTTTTTCTCCACCGAAACGCCGTTAAGTACGTACTCATCTTCTCTATGATGTGTGCGTTCAAACGAATTTGTACTCTCTCAAATGCTTGAATAAAATCTCTCTCCGTGTGAGAAGAAAAATAATCAAGGAGCGCTTATGTTCTCCGTGACGTCTCGATCAGTAAAGACATGCACACGTTAGGATGTGCTCAATAGTCCAATTAAAGTCCAAAAGTACCATCTCGTTCGACATCGGGTACGGTACGAAATCGCTGCGGTTGGATCGAAATGTTCAAACGAGAAAGACTTGGCACAGCAAAGTGTCAGACTGAAAGCTAGTTAACGACACAACGCCCAACTTACACCCTCTGAGAGCATCGCTGATCTTTGGGGCTGTCGTTTGCCACCACAGGTCGACATGATCATATGGCACTCCATCCTCCTCATTGTTCTCTGGAAAATATGGGACTCCAGGAACGCTATGGCCTTCAGGCAACAAAATCACCATAGCATTTTCATCCTCAAGCGAATCATTGATGACCTCATGCTCTGGACGCACAGGATCAAGAAAACAGAGCAGAAACAGGCCGCCTCCTCATGGCGCTCCTATCTCCTATCACGACTACACGTGCTTATGTAATTCACCTTGTAATCGAACATTTGTTGGGTTACAATCATGAGAAATATATTCAGGTGGGGAACTCCCCCCCCCCCCCCTGGTGTTTTTTCAAAAAAAAAAAAGACACAACGCCCAACATACTCTTTTATAAAAAGAACGTGTATAACATGCCACCCTTCGAAAAGTAATTAGTTCAGTGTGCGTGTATATATGTCAATTCCAGCTGCCACTAGTCCAAGACAAAGATGCATACCAGCAGCAAGTTGAGTTCTTTTTTTAACGTTTCTTAAGCTGATCGGTGTTTGTTGCTTAAAATCTAAGGAGTTTTATCTGCGCCATGCATACGGAACAGAGTTAGGCCAACGGTTGAGGCTGACATCTAGCTCGCTAGAACTCTTGTGATGCATCTTACCCGCAATAGAAGCACCGCACAAGCACAAGCTGCCTATCTAGCGGCTCCTCTTTTGTTGACCATCAAAGCAATCCACGGCAGGAAGGAACGAATTTATGTGAACTTCTGGCAGGTAGTTGCTGTTACCGTGATACAAACTCGTTATCGTAGGAATGTTTCATATAGTTGTCAAGGCTCCATCACCCAAGTTTTAAAAGTCCATCTTAAAAAAGATGGCTATGTTCTATATAGGAAAAGCTAAAAAGAAAAAGCAATAAAGATAGAGACATAACAATAACCTCTTTTATGTTCCAAATTACTAATACACTCTTACTAAAATGTTTGTACTTTTTGGAACTTCATGCGTGTGTTCTTCAATCTATACACACAATTTGCATGTTCATGTACGTATTATGCAACGAATGCTTTTAGAAATACGGAGTATAAAAAATGCGAACACAAGGATACTAGCATCCGGAGTCAACATCTTAAAAGAAATGAGAGCCTTGGGGAGCCCCATCAGGACTCGAACCCACGCGGGCAAGGCATAGACATGCTTCTCAAGCCACTCGAGCTATGTTCTGTTCTCGCTTTTAGTGTACATTCCAACAATTTTTCTCTTCTACTTGTGCATGGCTAGTACATGTATTTGCCAATCTATAACTAATGAAATCACAGTGTTGACACATATCACTATAGGAAAATCTGTCTTTGCCTAGTGTTCGGCCATTTGCCGAGTATATTTTTCATGGGCACTCGGCAAAGAGTCCGCTTTGTACCAACTGAAAAACACCGAGATCCTGCCAAAATACACATACCATACACTAACTAGTATTAATCTGATATATAGAGAATATTGTTTCGTCCAATAGCCAAATTTGATTATCTTGAAACATAACATAAAGTTGCGCCGCCGAAAGAGCTGTTCCAAATTAAGTCGCACAAACGGAATTACAAACATTTCCGCACACTGAAAACAACGAACTAGTACGTAGCATGCGTGTAGAGTAGTGAGTTGACATAATTATGCATGCTTAGCAATGCAACCGAATAGAGAATTGCATTGATTGGCCAGGTAGGTCTGAGGCGCCCAACGGCACAGGAAAACCCGTAACAATTAACTTGCTGGCTCTTTGTTCCCAATTAACAAGCAGAAACAAAGTCTTCCCCATAAATAATTCTGAGTAGTAGTACGGTTGATTTGTTTATACTTAATTAGTGTTCTTGTTCATTAACTATACTGCCTATTTTAGGCAAGCAGAAGATCAAACAAGTCGTACTGTAATGGAGTATACGTACAGATCAACTAGCCAGCATGTTGATCTGTTTATACTCTACTTAATACTTAATTAGTGTTCTTGTTCATTAATGCCCATGCATGCAATATTGCACTAGCCCTGAGAATGAAAGCATTGTATGGTATAGCAATGAAAAGACAAGAAGTAGTGACCAGGACGATTAATTAGTCGGCTTGGAGCTAATTGCTATCTAAAAGGAAGAGAAAAGGAGGTTATTCAGCTGACCGGCGAACGCAGCAGAACCTATTTTAAGGTATGTTACTGTTGTAGTTAGGTGCGGCGTACATTTGGGGAAGGAGAGTGACGGGTTGGTTCTAAGTAGACGTTGTAGGTTTGAAACATCAGAGGGATGTTGAGACCTGAACAACAGAATTCCCCCCACCAAGCAACCCTGCAGCTAGCGGCATCTTTCTGCCCCCAAAATCCCCAAAAAACATTAGGTGCACCAAGTGCAGAATTTTCCTTGCACACCAAGACCGGCTCACCGGTCTGTGAAAGACAGTAACAAATGATCTCTCTGAAAGGCACATATGTAATATAGTGATCCAACCTGCAGGCTTAATTAATTATTGCACCAGCTTAATTAATTACAAGATAAGCACAAGCTAGCTAGCACAGAATAACATTGGTTTGGCCAAACTGATTTGTTAAGTAATAAAAAATCACAACAGAATTTGTTGTAATTATTAGTTGTAACTCTCAAATCAACTGTTGCTATAATATAAGCCACCGGTTGCCGCAAATGTCATAGTAGTAAGTTGTTGGCATTTGTCCATGACACGTCACACATGCTTGGGGACACAAACACACACAAGAAAACACAAACAGTGAGCTTAAATGGTTTCTTTTCCGTATGTTGTTTGTTGAGCAAATGTAACTGGTGGCGAGACACTGCAGATTAGTTCGTTGATCTTGTGGACCTAGCTAGCTCTAGCTATAGATAGCATGTAACTAACATTTTCTATTCCCCTCTCGCGAAGCTTAACGTACAAAACCACCCGTTAGCGCACACGTAGCATCAAACTAACTCCGGTGTAACCATCTCCCAACTCGCTATCTTCTCCCTCACTAACCGATCAACAATAACGAGAGCTCGCCGGGGTTGGCCAGTTAGACAGAGAGAGAAACTGCCTGCTCATCACTTTCCCTTGGCCCCCTCTCCCCACCTTTCTATCTATCTATATATCCCCCACCTCTTATCTTTCTCTTGCCTCTTCTCATCCTGCCGATCTTTGTCTCTTCTCTTCCCTTCTCTCTCTTTGCATCTTGTTCATCTCTCTCCAGTGGCCCTCGAATCGATCGATCTTGGTCTTAAACTAGCTTTAGTTAGTTAGTTCATTCTTTTGCTGCTGTTTATGTGCAGCTAGCTTTTCAAATCTAATTATATATTTAAGAGATAGCTAGCTAGAGGGATCCATAGAGGTTAGAGAGATTTGTTGCTTATTTGGGCGATCGATCGAGGGAGGATGTGCACCAGAGGCCACTGGAGGCCGTCGGAGGACGAGAGGCTCAAGGAGCTCGTCGCGCGGTACGGGCCGCACAACTGGAACGCCATCGCCGAGAAGCTCCAGGGCCGATCAGGTACGAGACATGCATGTATGCATGCATGATCATCAACCGATCATCTGTGGAATTAATGAATCTCTCTTATTGGCTAATTAGGTGTACTTTGTGTTCCGTTAAGGCGCAATCCGGTTCCGTTAAGCTTATCTGACTTTTGGGGGATTTCTTGTTAATTAGTCCACGAGAGAATTTCGATTTGTTAGGGTGTCATGCTCACCTTGATGTGCATATGGCATCTCTATCACTTGTGGAGCAATTTTATCTACTAGCTTGCTAGCCACTTAGAGAGTTAATTTTACCTTTCTTGGTTCCTAATTCATCTATCGCGCACAAGCTATCTATCCATGGTGTCGTTGCAAGCACATCGCCTAAGCTTCTTAGATGATTAATTAACGAGAAAACCCATGGAAAATGACCTGTTGTGTCTGTGATTTCTCAGGGAAGAGCTGCAGGCTGAGGTGGTTCAACCAGCTGGACCCGAGGATCAACCGGAGCCCCTTCTCGGAGGAGGAGGAGGAGCTGCTCCTGGCCTCGCACCGCGTCCATGGCAACCGGTGGGCCGTCATCGCGAGGCTCTTCCCGGGCCGCACCGACAACGCCGTCAAGAACCACTGGCATGTGATCATGGCGCGCCGGTGCAGGGAGCGGATGAGGCTGTCGTCCAACAGACGTGCCACGCCCGCCGCCGCCTCCACCACCACCGCCGGTGCCGAGAAAGACGAGAGCCCTAAGAACACCACGGGCGGCGAGAAGCCGAGACTTCCGGAGACGAATACCATGGCCGCCTTGCTCCATAAGTACCGCAGAGAATTTGCTGCCCCCTTCGCGATCAGCCATCACAGTAGCAAGGAGGGTTACTGCTCATCCACGAATGAAGGTGAAATGATTGATCCATTGCATGCATGCAGGGTTCTAGTATACAGAGCGTTCTCCCATCAGTTTAGCTTGTATGTCTGGAATGAGTCAATTAGGGTTTGTTTTGCAGATACGAATAGATCGGTGGAGTTCTACGATTTCCTCCAGGTGAACGTGAGCTCGAGCGACACCAAGTGCGGCTCGAGCATCGAGGAGAACCGGGACGACGACGACGATCAGCAAGCCGAAGGGCAGGTGTCGCTCATAGATTTCATGGAGGTTGGGACTTCTCGTCAGTGATTTATCTTATCTATATGTGTTATGGGTCAGTATTTAACTAGGGGTGGTGCATCCAAAGCAGCTTGTAATGCTTTGTGAGGAGGCCGGGCCATGCTACATCTGTAGCAATCTAACACCAAATATACTTATAGAGGAAGCTAAGCGAAATGCAAAAGTATATATATGACATGTACATTTAATTTATTGATGTACGCACACATGCATGTATATGCCCGTCCATGCAGAGTTCTTCGTGAGATATGGAGAACGAGGCTTTTCTCTCATCATTTGTAAATTTAATTAATAATAAACATTTTTTGTTCTCATTTAATATGTTTAATTATTGGTTTATGGGGTTTTAATCAGTCATGGGATGTTTTTTTTATGTTTTAATAAGTCATTTAATCTGTTTGATTATTGGTTATTATGGGGTTTTAATCAGTCATGAGATAGTTTTTCCCCTAGGACCTTCCACTGTCAAAGATAACAGAATAGTCCCCTTGTATATTGTACCCGCGAGTCCATCAGAGATTATTATTTTTTGATAAAGAGAGCCCCCTCTCCACTTTCCATATATCAGAACCACTTGTCTTTTGTTACAACTACCAGGGACTAGAAGCAGCAAAAGGAAATAAAAAGATGCACAATCCTGGCAGAACAGCACGAGCTAGACTCGTCTGTCTGCCAAGATCACAAAACAGCTAAGGCTATATCGGCATAGCTGTTGATAACCTACAAACAGTTAAAATGACTGCGGCAACATAAACTCTCCAGGGAATGGCAGTCCATCAGAGATTGAACCTCATTTTTGTTGCTCTCTATGTCTCATTAAAGATGGAGGTGACTTTCACTAAACTTGACACTCACGGAGCCTTTAGTACGCATTACTAGAAGGATGTGTGTGCTTATGTATGCTAGGATCATATTCTATTATTACGATTTTATCATATGTGGTTTGTTGATTCCAGTATTCCGGTATAGGCGTTTATGACCACCCCCTCTATGTCATGTGGTAATGTACCACAACGGTGCCATCCATAGATTGGATTTCACTTGCTTGTAATGAGTTCTCTAAAATTACCGCCTTTACCACAACGGTATTGCCCGTAGATTGGATTTCACTTGCATGCATGTATGCAGTTTCCTTGTGTGTGCTCGCGATAGGTGTTTTGCATAAATATTTTGTCATATTATTAAATATTGTTCTAGGTGTCTATAGCATTTACTTGATTATTTACATGCTATATATAGTAATAATAACTCATTTTATCATGTTATATACTTTTAGATAAAAGGGAGGAGCATTATATAGTATTAACTCATTTTATCGCGTTATATATACACGTAGGTGCAACAAAAAGTTAAGGTTGCATTAAGCGATACGCCTTACCCCATGAGCAGCGTGATGTGTAAATGTGCTGTAAGTGGACACGTTGGTGATGGTGTTGAATCAGTCATGCAGGAGCCAGCTGATGGCATCCGTGTACCATATTTTTATCGTCTACCGGTTTGTCCGCGAACATCTCCATGATCATCGCTACAACAGTCAGCCGTTTGACGTCAGTTAATAATCCCCGCGCAAATTTCCCTGATTTGGACCTCCACTCTAGCTAAGCTAAGCTCGCTCGCACGGATGAAATGCACGTTCCATCCGAGTGAAAGTGAAAATGGACGAAAGCTGATGCGCGGTGTGTAATTGATCGTTGTCGCCTTTCGGCGCACAAGCCTGATCCATTCACGCTTCCTTTGTCGTCGAATCGCTTTTGGAAACCTGTTGCCCTAGACGGTGTAACGGTGAAGCCTCATGTACTATATTGACCTGATCGACATGACATTTAACAAACCTGGATCAACGACTTTTACAATTGACGTTTCGCTGAGGAAAAGGTATACATGGGCCGTAATGACGTGCTATGTAAAAAAGACTACAAGTTAGTCATGAATTCACACTTCAAACCAAGTACTCGTCGGAGCGTCGGGCACCCTAAACCCACCTTAAACGTCCGGACGGACGGTCCGGTCAGTGATCGGTCACAAAAAATCGACACAGACAAACTTCTCAAACGGGCCTCAAACGTCCGGGCTGACCGGCACCCCTCATATACAACCCAAATCTGGGATGGATATAGGGGTGCCCGGACGCTTTCGCCACATCGGAGTGACGATGGGGTCCCACAGGAAAACACTCTGAAACCCGACAGTCTGAAACTTGTCTCCTTCGTCGGACCGATGGCGCCGCGTGGCGCCGCTCTGGCGGGCGGCGTAGTGCCTAGCCCGGCTATTTAAGCCGACCGCCGACACCGAAACCCTATCCGTCCACATTCCCCCCTCCCTTCCACCGCCGCCGCACTTTCCAATGGCCGCTCGCCACCATTAGTAGTCATGCCACCATGCCGCCAGGTAAGAAGCTACCCATATCTAACGCCGGAGCGCTAGATGTAGCTCCTTGAGCAGATCTGGACAAGGTGCAAAGCCCGGATCGCCGCGGGGCTACCTCCGGACGCGGTGGATCCGGAGAAGGACTTGGGGGTTGAGGAGAATGAGGTTGACGACCAGGAAGAGGAGCCGGAGGAGGATGTGGGGAACGCTTGGGACACGGATCTATAGACAGAGTAGCAGGCAATCCTTGATTCCCTCCGGTCACAGTCGGAGGCGGAGGCCAGACGCCATCATCGGCAGGAGGTGGAGGCGGAGCACACCGCGGAAGTCGACAAGATGCTCACGTATACTGATGAGGAGGAGGAGGAGGAGCCGGAGCCCTCCTACGCGTCCATCTACCCGGCGCCCGGCACCGACGTCGTGGGCATCTACAACGATGAAGCATAGCTGGTCTATCGTAGTACGTAGGTTTATGTTGCATACTTTGTATGGATTTAGGGGATAAAATATGAAAGACTCGAATGCATAGCATTAAGTTTGAGACGTGATCGGTTACTGTTCGTAGACGCGCCCAGTCGTGCCCGTGAGCGTTTGAGAGATCATATTTGCCAAGTCCGAATGTATATGCTCTCAATTTGTTAACACTCGGCCTCTATAGCGATTTGATGCACACAGATATGCGAGCATATCTGTATCTCTCATATTTGTGTATATGCTCTCAATTAGATTTGATGTATATGCTCAATTATCCAATGATGACGGGACGCGATTTGTACCACTCACATCCGGGGTTAGATTTGTGGCAGCATATTTGCGGCCGCCCAGTTGGGTCGTGATTGCCTTCTATATGTGTTTAGGGTTTAATTGTTGTAAAACGGTCCACAGTCCACACATGCAGCTTTTAACAGAGAGTGCATCCCCGCTCACTTCACCTCATGTGCTTCTTTAGTTCTAAATTTGAATTTATTTTATCTTTTGAACCAAACGTCAAAATTACATTTCGTTTGCATATTCGTATCTCTTGTAACAAGTGCTTTGAAACAAGATCCTTTTAATACATTTTGACAAGCTTTAAAAACTTCATTAAGTTTCAACTACTAAAACTTGATAGGAAGGAGTGATAAATTTACAAAGTTTTTAAAACTATTCTCTCTATCCTGAATTATTTGTCTAGGTACGGATGTATCTGTAGTGTTAGACACGTCTGTATCTAGAAAAATCTAAGACAAGTAATTTGGGACGGAGGTACTAAAATTTACGGAAATGTTAACGCCCACACGTGTGGGCGTTTGCATCTCGCCCACACGCGTGGATCCGCGTCCATTCGTGAGCGCACGAATCTTGGCATGTTTCTAGTGCCACGTAGGACTGGTCTGGTGTGTGGGCGTTCAGCCGGTCGCCCACACGGCCGTTTCACCACACAGGAGGGGCTGGTGTGTGGGCGTTCAGCAGTTCGCCCACACGCCACTTTGCACGCACATACAAGGGCTAGTGTGTGGGCATTTGGCATCTTGCCCACACGCCCTTCTCCTCTCCCACACCCAAGCTGCTAGTTGCCATGTGTTTTTGCACTGCACATGGCAACTGCCCCTAGTGTGCTTTTATAAGCAGGTGGCAACTCTCTTTTTTTACCCGAGTTTGTCATGTGTTTTGTAGGGTACACGGCAACTGCCTAGTGTGCACGTAAGCAGATGACAACTCTCTTTTACCGAGTTGCCATATGTTTTTGCATGGTACATGGCAACTGCCCTAACGTGCATGTACATGGCAACTACCCTAACGTGCACGTAAGCAGATGGCAACTCTTCCTTTTTACATGGCAACTGCCCTAGCATGTTTGTGAGCACATGGCAACTCTTTCAACTGCCTAGCGTTAGTATGTGGCAACTCCTAAAGTTATGAAATCATGGCAACTACATTAGATCAGACCATACATGGCAACTGCAGTTGAGCAACCATGGCAACTGCAGTTGTCCGACATGGCAACTGCAATTAAACGAACATGGACGAGGGTCTGGACCATGGCAACTGCGGGCGCACGGTGACCATCACGCGTGGCGTGCGGGACCAGGAGGTACGAGGCCCGACATACGGGCGTGTGGGCGTTATCAACTTCGCCCACACGCACACGTGTGAGAGGGATCGGGAGGGAAAAAAAGAGGCGTGTGGGTGCTAATTGTTTTGCCCACACGTAGGTGTGTGGGCTGTTCCTCTTATACACCACACAAAATGTGTGGGCGAACTCCCTAACGCCCACACGTGTGACACTTATCGGCGTCCAAAATTTAACCCCTTAAGCAAATGAAACTTGGTAAGAACTTTATGAATAGCACTTCGGTACTAGAATTTAACCCCTTAAGCAAATGAAATTGGGTAAGATCTAAATATATGACTAGCAAGTTTTAATATTTGAAACTTAGTAAAAGTAAATAGGTCGTCAAAATGTATTCAAGCAGGTCTTGTTCGAAAGTATTGGTCACAACGAACATAAATATGCAAACGTAAGTGTAGCAAAGCTACTCTCATAATAGGGAAATTCTCATTGTAAAGACCCATAGATAGAAAAGTGGTATACTTTTAAAAAAAGATCTATTATAAAAGTTCATCAGAAGTATAAATCACATCAAACATAATACAAATTATACTGAGATCTCTAGACCACCAAATGGCCACTACCGTCACTAGAACAAGCTGCCAACGCATCGATGTCGCATCTCCCCTACCGGAGCTGACGTTACTTTGTCGATGACAACCAAAATGTCTTCATGCACATGCAGCTAAGAACCAGTGCCATGAAGCCGCAGTCAT